GATCTTGGCACCTAAACCGGTTAGTGCGCCTGATAAAGCTGTGCGTGCAGCAACAGCTGTACCTGTAGTAGCAATGAGACATGCACTCTCTTGTCATCGGTGTCTTAAAGGAACACATAAGCAGTGGTCTTGTTGATGCGAGCGACCGTAAATTAGCTGCACTGTAAGGCTTTTTCACGGCAGCCCTAACACGTTTCCTCTGATTTTCCTTATATGTTCACTTCTGAATGGCAGCTAGATAAATATCTGCTGCTTTTGAGCTGATGGAACAAGACCTCGCTTGAGTATGTCACGAATGTGTTTTGTAAACTGTATCGGACCCACGTTTGATTGTAGTGTCCCGAACAGGAAATCTTTTTATTATTCTAATGTGTCCGGGGTACAGTTTTAGTCGCACGCACAATGTCCTCCTCGGAATCAATGAGCAGCAGTATAACATTCACTTAAGGCTTGCATGGAGTCGCCGAATTTATGATATCGTCCGCCGTCTCTTCGATCATGCACATGAACACATCCAATGACTAAAGCTCGCGTGGGTTGTCCATCGCAACACCGTCTATCTTTATATACGTTTTACTTTGGAAATAAAATCATATGTCATTCGTGCACAAAAGAAGTATGTGCTGCGACATTTTCGCGGGATTCACAGTCGGATGTTACGTTTTGTGCTAAACTCACAGATATAATTTGTGTTTAAACGATTACTGATCATAGCGCGGTGGGACGGACCGACATACGATAAGATGCATACATTTCTCATGGTTTATCGCACCACCCCACATCCAGTGTGTACTAGACAGTTACCATCACAGATGCAGCTAGGCCCACAAATAAGGTAGGTTTGGGAAACCATCATGTCTAAGTGAAAAGTGATGGCTCACCAGAGCTGTACAGAGTTTTCTCAACGCCAGCAGGAGGGGCCGCGAGAAGTCTTAAATTCAATGAACTGGTGGGATCAATAGATTTTTGGCAGAACACAAATATTTAGACTCCGTGTAAAATTACCAATCAACTTAGTAACCTAACCTACATAACTGATGTACCAGGTGAAGTATGGCACCGTCATACTAAGCAGCGGCGACTACGCTCGGATAGCGGACATCACCGGATAGAACGTAATCCTTAGCTAGATTTTCAGGTAATACTTGAAGAGTTTTCGCTGCCGAAACCAAATGAAGGAGATTCGGAATGTCTCTCATATAGGCAAAGAGGCTATTTAGGATTATCATATATTTCGCAGACAGCCAGCACGGGATGGCCGACCGCGGGATCGACTAACGTGGACCCAAACATCGGAGGCCCTAGGAAGACGTGCTAAGAGAATTAGGTTTCGTGTAGGCAATGCCAACTTCCATAGTGCATCTGTCCACCGATCAAAATAGTGAATACATCCAATCAGAGAGAGGCACAAACCAACCAATCACCGTTGAGCCAGGGCCATGGAACCAAATAACCTAACATTGAGAGCAGAATAACTTGCAGTGCATTGTATTAACTTGGGATTCCGCTGTATCAATATTACAAGTCCCCTAAGCTTATGAGAGCAGTCTAGGTTACAGCAGACACAACCCTGTTTTTATTCTAAAACCCAAGCCTTTTCTATTAAGTGGGCCGAACTTAGAGAGCACCAGGTTCAACGGACGGGAGATCTCAATATGAATACCAAGACTTGGATAAACATAGGAGTAGCTGATTCCAAAATCAATTCACCTGGAATACCGCTGCTTCGGAGCGATTGAACCGGAAGGATTGGTGGTGTAATTCCGTAATGCAAGGCTAACCTTCGATGTGAAATTAGCGCCCATAAATCTGTGCCCCAGATTCGTTTTGGTGCAACTGTGCTTGCGGAACAAAGAAACTTGTCTTGTATCCTTAATTTATCGTCCACCAAACTCTACGTTTGAATTAGATTCCAAACTGAACGGCGTTCTGCAGTTTAAATTGGGCAAGTCATACATTCATATTCTCATCGCAGGCGACTTACTTTGCACGACATGTAGACATCGGCAATAGATAGCACGCAATTCACAGCCTGTTTGTATGGGATAATACTCCGCTACTGTTTCACCAGATTTTGAACCACTTACAGGCCATGGATGCTAGATCTTATGCTCATAAACAAAGAACTGCTGGTCTACGGAATAGTTGCAAGCACACCATTAAGTCTCAGCGACCACCATACTATTTGACTACGTACTTTGGTTCCATTATCCTGAAAATTAATGTCAAGCATACAAAGAAATTATCCGCGCTATTTTAGTTAGCATCATGGACTTTCTCAACTTTATACCCCCAAGGGAGCGCCCGGGAAAAATTTACAGGACAATTAGCACACTAGTAGTGAATGTGCTGGAAAAGAAATTCCTCCATCATCGGAGGAGAAACAAGTCAGTTGAGTAGAGAACAACCCCTGAACGTATGTTCTTGAGGGACACAGGATGGAGAGTTCAAACGGACTCCCCGAATTCCCAAACCCGGAATGTCTACGTGGCGCAGTATACATTTGCTTGAAATTGATCCACCGGGACAAGGTGACATACTATCATGAGTTAATGAATCGTACCGGAACGCTTATACAAGCATGTTAATGGTCTCAGTAAGGTGCAGCGCGGAATTCTAACACTGGTCACTATTGACGGGTGCATTTGATCAGAACGGAAGCTGCCGATGTCTTGCGGTTCCATTAATCACATACGTTCCACATGGTAATAGGTCCAAAAATCCCACTGTTTCTATTTTCTCACTGTTAGATTAATCTAAACTCATCCTGACTTAAGTAGCTTTGTTAAAGATTTGTCGTCGCTCTACATTCACAGTATCCTGTTGTCGATAAGATTAGACCGAAGGCTTTACATTCAGCACCTGGTGATCTGGCAGAACCACTGGCTATATTCTATCAGCGTTTTCCAGAGGACAACTCCATTCTAGCCGCATGGAATCTAGGGTTCACCACTCGTATTAATAAGGGAGGTAGCCACACTGACCCGACCAATCAACGTACGATAACACTGCTTCCTTTGATTGCTAAACCCATGGAACCAACCATCGCAAATGCACCGATGCATTATCTGGAAAACAACAGCATTATATCACCGGAACAATGCAGCTTCTGACCAAACCGCTTATGCAAAACTAACTTGTTACTTGTACGCCACAGCTGAACTGAAGCAGTTAGTTTTTGAGCATAAGTCAATGGCATTTACTCAGAGTTCTCAAAAGCGCTTGATCACTTTAAACAAGGATGTTTTCACCATAAACATCATATTTATGACAATTGTGGCCAACACCTGCGTAG